GTGGCTAGTTGTTTTATTTTGGCCTGTTTACACACAGTTGAGATAGGATGCTTACAGTAAGTATCACAATGCAATATCTAGATTGAAACCAGAGAGTGGGGGGGAGAAATCAACATTTAAATGAACAAGGGTAAGGTGTATATGTTACAAAAAACATTATACCAACACTATCACTCTTTGAAGATGATGTAATAATATGCATTACAATTCCCCAAAATTCTATCAAAAATTATGAAAAGATTAACAAGTATAGCTATGTGACAGTATACAGAACCAATTTGAACAAATCAATTTACTTTTGTATATACTAGCATCAAACATTCAAAGGAGACTTTGAGCACACTCACATTCAGAAATGTCTGAAGGAAAGTAAAATATCTAGTAATAAACAGATGAAAGAGAAACAAAAAACACATCTACAATGAGAACTTCAAACACCTGAAGAAATCAAGAAAGACTGGATAATGAGGAGACATCCCATGTTCCTGGATTGATAAAGATAAAATTTTGAAAATTACCATTCAACTAAAAGGTAGTCACAAATTAAAATGCAAATGCAATAAAAAGCACAATCTCATTCTTCACAGATAGGAAAACAAAAACAAAAACAACTTCTGCCCAGTTCCCTTTCTTCATTCACTTCTGCTGTCTATTCTATTTTCTATTCTGAGTGACATTCTGGCACCCTCCTGTGGATCCTCCTTGTTATTTGGCTTCTTTGCATGTGTGGATTGTAATATGGTTATCCTGTACTATAAGTCTAATCTGTGTATGTGTTACCTCACTCAGGATGATATTTTTCTAGTTCGATCCCTTTGTCTGCAGTTTTCATGATTTCTTATTTTTAATAACTGATTAATTCCATTGTGTAAATGTACCAGAAGTACTTTATCCACTCTTCTATACCTGAGGGACATCTGTGTTGTTTCCAGTTTCTAGCCGTTATGAATAAAATAGCTATGAACATAGTAGAACAAATGTTCTTGTTCTATAATGGAACATCTTTTGGATATATTCCCTGGAGTGGTATAGCTGAGTCTGGAGGTAGAACTATTCCCAATTTTCTGATAATGCACCAGATTGATTTTCAGAAAAGTTGTACAAGTTTGCACTCCCATCAGCAATAGAAGAATGTTCCCTTTTCTCCACGTTGTCACCAGCGTGTGTTGTCACTTGAGTTTTTGATCTTAGTCATTCGAGTGGTGTAAGATGGAATCTTAGAGTCATTTTGGTTTCTGTATGATAGCTAAGGATTTTTGATGATTTCCTTTAGTGCTTCTCAGCCATTTGAGATTCCTCTGTGGTGAATTCTCAGTTTAGCTCTGAACCCCATTTTTAAATTGGATTAGTTGATTTGTTGGTGCTTAATTTCTTAAGTTCTTTGTATATTTTGGATTTTACCGCTGTCTGATGTAGGGTTGTTGTTAATATTTTTCCAATCTATTGGCTGCCATTTTGTTCTATTGATAGTGTCTGTTGACTTACAGAAGCTTTTCCGTTTCTCTGAGCTTGTGCTGTTGTTGTTTTATTGTGTCCTGTGTTAGTGAGTTCCAGACTTTTCTCCACCTTGTCTTATCTAAATGAATCTCTGGTTTTATGTCAAGGTCTTTGATCCCCTTGGACTTGAGTTTCTGCAGGTGATACAAAGGGGTCTATTTGCATTTTTCTACAGGCAGAAACCTAGTTAGACCACAATCATTTGTTGAAGATGCTGTCATTTTTCCATTGTATGGTTTTGTCTTTGTTGAAAGTAAAGTCCCAGTATAAGTGTGGGTTTATTTCTGTATCCTTATTTCAATTGTACAAGATTGGTCTGCTCTCAAGGGTGTTTTATGTTTCCATATGAAATTTATGTTTGCTCTTTCAAGGTTTGTAAAGAATTGTGTTGGAATGTTGGTGGGAAATGGATTGAATCTATAGATTGCATTTGTTAAGAATGCTGTTTTACTATGTTAATTTTACATATCCATGATTTGGGAAGCTCTTTCCATCTTCTGATCTCTTCCTCAGTTTCTTTCTTTAAAGACCTATAATTCTACTCATAGAGGTCTTCATTTGGTTGGTTAGAGTTACTACAAAATATTTCATATTGCTTGTGACTACTGTTTAGGGTGTTGTTTCCCAAATTTCATTCTCAGCCCAGTTTTCATTTGTATGCAGAAGGCCTAATGATCTTTTTAGTTAATTGTGTTCCCAGCCACTATGTGGAAAGTATGTATCAATTGTAGGAATTCTCTAGTAGAATTGCTTGGGTCATGTATGTATACTAGTATGTCATCTGTGAATACTGATACTTTGACTTCTTCCTTTCCAATTTGTATCTCCTTAATCACCTTCAGTTGTAGTATTACTATGGCTAGGACTTAAGTAGCATATTGAAGAGATATGGCAATGGTAGGCATCTTTGTTCTGTACCTCATATAAGTGGAATTTAAGTTTCTCTCCAAATAATTTCATGCTGGCTCTCAGGTTGCCTTTTACTGCCTTTATTATGTTAAATATGTGCCTGATTCCTTGTGAGTCTGATTTCTCCCCTTTTTAACATGAAGGGGTGTTTGGATTTTGTGATATGTTTTTTCTCATCTAATGAGATGATCATGTGATTTTGTTCTTTCATTTTGTTTATATGGTAGATTACACTGATAGATTTTCATATGTTGAACCATCCTGATATCCCTGAGATGAAGCCTATTTGTTCATCGTGTATATCTTTGATGTTGGATTTGGTTTGTGAGTATTTTATTGAGTATAGTTGTGCCTATGTTCATAAGTGAGATTGGTCTGAAATTTTCTTTCTTTGTTGAGACTTTGTTTGGTTTGTGTACCAGGGTGACTGTGCCATCAGAATGAGTTTGGCACTGTTCCTTCTGTTTGTATTTTGTGGAATACTTTCATGAATATTGGTATGAACTCTTGTTTGAAATTCGGGTATGATTCTATGCTCAAACCATGTAGCCCAGGGTGTGTGTGTGTGTGTGTGTGTGTGTGTGTGTGTGTGTGTTTGGCAGACTTTTAATTACTGCTTCTATTTTCTTAGGTGCTATTGGCTCTATTGTTTTATATTATTAAACTTTTTGGTTTTGAGGAAAAAGTTTCTCCATTTTCTTGTGTGTCCTTTAAGTAGGTATATAAATCAGGCAGGCCTCAGACTTAGAGATCCACCTGAATGTGAATATAGAGTACTAGTATTAGATGTGGGCCCACATGCCTCTCTTTGTAGTTTTGTTTTTATATTATTGGCTGATGACCTGAAATGTAGGTATTTGTACATATCAAATCTGTTCTTCAATTGATCTTCATCCACATGTTAAATTTTGAGATTTAACAGAGCATATTGTATTTCTCATTTGGCAACTTCAGGTTCCTTAACCCATGCTGCTATGGCTTCTCATCTAAGGCCACACCCATATACTGCCAGCGGGCTCCCATGACCCAGAAACTCACCCACCCTGATTTCTATTCTCTCGTTTCATTTGCTCCTTGCCTGATGTCCATTCCCATTACCCTCCACACTCCCTCTCCCACCCTATCTCTTCCCTCCATTTATTTCAGATACCTATCTTATTTTCTCTTCTGAGTGAGTTTCCTACACCCTCCCTTTGCTCTCCTTCTCTCATTGACACTCTGGGTCTATGGATTGTTCCATGGTTTTCCTGTATGTTATGGTTAATTTCCACTTTTGAGGAAGTACATACCATGTGGGTCTTTCAGCATCTAGGTCATCTCACTTGGAAAAGTCTTTTCTAGTTCCACCCATTCTCTGGCTGATTGCATGAAGTCTTATTTATTAATAGCTAATTGGTATTCCACTATATAATTGCATCACATTTTCTTTATCCATTCTTCAACAAAAGGACATTTAGGTTGTTTCCATTTTCTCTTTATTATAAATAAATCTGCTATGAACATATTTGAACAAGTGTCCTTGTGGTGTGTTATAGCATCTTTTGGGTATATTACCTGGAGTAGTATAGGTGTTGAGGTACATGGGTAATGACATAGGTCTATTCTACATTTTTTGAGAAACGTCTAGATGGATTTCCAAAGTGGTTGTTCAAGTTTTCATTCGCACCAGCACTGGAGGTGTGTTCTCCTTACTCCACATCCTCACCACCATGTACTATCCCTTGAGTTCATCATCTGAGCTATTCTTACAAAAGTAAGATTGAAATGCAGAGTTCTTTTGATTTGCCTTTCCTTAATAACTAAGGACACCAAACATTTCTTTAAGTGCATCTCAGACATTAGCACTTTCTCTTTTGAAAGTTATCTGTTTAGTTCTGTATGCCATTTTTAATTAGGTTATTTGATTTGTTGGTGTCTAATTTCTTCAGTTATTTATTGTGTATATTATCCTTCAGTTAGAAATAGGCTAGGTTAAGGTCCTCTCCCAGTCCATGTGCTGCCATTGATAGAGTTATTTACCTTCCAGATGCCTTTCATTTTCAGTGTCCCTTTTGTTAATTGTCAATTTTATTTTCTGAGCTGTTGGTGTACTGTTCACAGAGGTGTCTCTATCTTTTTTGTTTGGTTGATTTATTTTTACAGAATATTCAGGTTATTATATACTCCTGACTGTCTTGGAATATTGCATAGACCAGGCTAGTATCCAGTTCTATGAAATACTCCTGTGCCTGTCTCCTGAGTGTTTTTGGAATAAAAGACTTTTAAAAATACACCCAGCTTGTCCATTGTTGTTATAGTCAGGAATTGCTCATACTATTTCTCTGATGTTTACTCTCTCTGGTTATGTCTGTGAATTAGCATTTTTCTTGCATGGCTATATCATCCTGAAAGGATGCAGGAATTAGAGAGGTTCACCTCTCTTTTCAGTTTCCTCCTAAAAAGAGTTCGTGATTACATTAGAACCTGTGTGTCAGAAAATAAGTAGAAGAAACAACCAGAATTATGTGAAAATATTGTAAACGAAGTATACATTTCCAGGATACATTGTCAGTTTCATGCTTTCTGTTTTACACATGTGTGAATATTTTAGAATGCATTAAGCTACAATGATGTGCATGTGAACTTCACTCGAGAAGAATGGGCTTTGCTGGATCCTTCCCAAAGGATTCTCTACAAAGATGTGATGCTGGAGACCTACAGGAATCTCACTGCCATAGGTATGAGAGTGAATTATCTTTACTTTTTAAAATGAGAGACAATCTCTTTATTCAGTATTGATGTACTTCTGTAATTTCACTTGAGCATGAGGAATACTAAAGTGAATGGTTCTTTGATTGACCATAATCTTGACCTAAATTTTGCCTTATTTCCAATAATAAATCATGCATTTTCTGGTACTGTATTTTAGGCTACAATTGGGAAGATCATAATATTGAAGAGCATTGTCAAAGTTCTAGAAGACATGTAAGGTAATTTTTATGTGTAAGCTGATACAAATATGGTTCTGAGAAAATGTTAATATGTCTTGGAAACTTGAAAGAGACAGTGTAAATGGAATGCTTTAAGTATATTTATTGATGATTATAACTTGTTACCAAACCATATACCTCGATGTTAGTTATTTGATGTGTGTTTGCAAGGCACACCTCTAAGAAAGAATGCAAGGAAACCATACCTTACCAAAGATGATAATTTAAATCATAGCCACACTAGAGCTATGTGGTAGAACTGTAATTTGTTTCATCTCCTACAACTCAGGTATTGCCAAAGGTATTCACAGTAAATAGGTGATGAAAGTATGTCCAAAATATTATACTAATCAAGTATTCCATAGTAAAGCTGGAGTTACTCATGTACTTATAGTAATGTTGCTAAGTTTTGTGGCAAAGGTAGGTTTTTAGTGTCAAGAATGTTGTTGTGGAAAAACCATAATCCGTATAGCACATGTCTGTGATGAACACAAATCAAATGTGTGAATACAACGTGAAATCATGTCACTTATTCTTCTTTTAATGGGTGTATCATATGTCAAATGAATACAAACCATGTTAGCGTATGGATATTGAAAGAAACAATGTACCTCCCAGAACAACTAAAAGATAGAATAGCCTTCATTTTCAGTAATTTTTAATATGTGATCCTGTTAGGATTTATATGGGATTTTCAGAATTGCCAGCAGTTCAAATAATGACACAAAGGCTTTTTTAATATTTTAAAGCTAAGGCAATTTAGCTGGGCAGATTGTGAACCCTTTTTTTCGCTTAACCCAAATAAACCTAGCATGGTATCCACTGCATGGCCAGCTCTACCTCTTTGTTCATGTTCATGTCCATCTGTTAACCTCAGTGTCCTGCTGGTGATTCACCTGTCTTTTGCTTTGTTCTTCCCAGCAACATTCTCTCATTCAGAAGTACTGTCCTCCATTTTGTGCCCTGCTATCAGTTGTAGCTCTTTATTGTTTCCAATAGATAAGTAAGGAAGGACAAATGTTTATAAAATATAGGACAGGTGATGGGCTATATACTAAAATCTGGCCATCACTTAGCTCTCTGCAGGCTCAACAATCAATATCCACATATACTGACACACTTTCACACAATATACACCAACATCAGTTCATTGGTTATTCAACTTCATTATGAATACTCATAAACTGACACTGCAGAAAATATAAGTTTTAGGAATATTTAAATATTTCTATTTGTCTAGTTATTTTTGCAAAAATAGCATGGCACATAATATATGGAAATTTATTAATCCAGTCAGTGTGTTAAAGCTCCAAGGTCTTGCAGTTTTCTACAAGTATGTGGTAAAACAACTTATAGAAGAAAGTATAGTATAAATTTGAGCCAGGTAACAAATATTTTTATCATTACAAGTATTTTCAAATATGTAAAACAACACTTAGAGAAAGAGAATACCATGAATGTAAAAATAGTATTGAAACCTCAAGATTTAATTCCACTTTACTTTTACACCAAATATAAAATTGACATAGATAAAAAGATTAATCATTGTAATGAGTGTGGTAAAACTTAACATGTGCAAATTATTTTCGCAGGTATGAAGGCAGTCATATTGGAGAGAAACCCTCTGAAGACAGTCAATTTGGTGAAGTCTTTACACAATCAGAGTAGTCCTCACACGTATAAAAGAACGCAGACTGGTGCGGATCTCTATGAATGTAACCAATATGGTAAACACTCTGTATATAATAGTGAACTTCAAATCTATGAAAGAATTCATGTTGGACAGAAACTCCACAATTTTGATCAATGTGCCAAAGCCTTTGCAAACCACTGTTGTCTCCTAATAGACAAAAGAACATTTACTGGAGAGAAACCTCATGAATGTAATAATTGTGGTAAAGCCTATACATGTAATAGTACTCTCCTAATACAAGAAAGAACACATGCTGGAGAGAAATCTTATGAATGTAACCAATGTGGTAAAGCCTTTGCATGTAACAGGAGTCTCCTGGTACATAAAAGAACTCACACTGGAGAGAAACCTTATGAATGTAACCAGTGTGGTAAAGCCTTTGTAAGTAACCGTAATCTTCTAATACATAAAAGGACACACACTGGAAAGAAACCTTATGAATGTAACCAATGTGGTAAAGCCTTTCTATGTAACAATCATCTGGTACTGCATAAAAGAACTCACACTGGAGAGAAAATTTATGAATGTAAACAATGTGGTAAAGCCTTTCCACACAACAGTCATCTCCTAATACATGAAAGAACTCACACTGGAGAGAAACCTTATAAATGTAACCAGTGTGGTAAAGCCTTTGTAAGTAACCGTACTCTTCTAATACATAAAAGAACACACACTGGAGAGAAACCTTATGAATGTAACCAGTGTGGTAAAGCCTTTACACAGAAGATTCTTCTCCTAAGACATAAAAGAACTCACACCAGAGAGAAACCTTCTGAATGTAACCAATGTGGTAAAGCCTTTGCACGTAACAGTTATCTGGTAGAACAAAAGAACTCACACTGGAGAGAAACTTTATGAATGTAACCAGTGTTGTAAAGCCTTTGCAAGTAACAGTAATCTTCTAATACATGAAAGGACACACACTGGAGAGAAACCTTATGAATGTACCCAGTGTGGCAAAGCCTTTGCACAGAACAGTCATCTGGTAGAACATAAAAAAAACTCACACTGGAGAGAAACTTTATGAATGTAAACAATGTGGTAAAGCCTTTGCATGTAACAGTAATCTCCTAAGACATAAAAGAACTCACACTAGAGTGGAATCTTATGAATGTATCCAACATGATAAAGTCTGATGCATTTCAGACTAGTTTCTGAAGACAGAAAAGAACACACCCTGGTGAAAAAACTTATGAATGTAATCAGTGTGGCATCACCTTTGTACAACAGTCATCTCCTAATACATAAAAATACATATTGCAGAAAATGTGACTATAACCAATGTCATAAAAGCTTTTCATGTAACAGTCATCTAGGACAAGAACACTTATTGAATTGAGATCCTATGAACATAACCAATGTTGCAAACCCTTTGCATGCCATGATAATCTCCAAGTACATAAAAGAATACACACTAGAGAGACAACATTATGAATGTAACCAACATGATAAAAACTTTTTGTGTAATAGTAATCTCCTAAGACAAAGAACACATACTGGAGAGAAACCTTATGAATATAACCAACATGTCAAAACTTTTTCTCTTCAGAATCATCTTCAAAGTCATAAAAGAATTCATACTGGACAGAAAGATTATGAATGTATTTACATGGTGAAGCTCCTTTCTATAATCATTATGACAGAATTCGTATAGGAGAGAAATTTTAGAATGTGTTAAAATGTGAGGCGTTTGCACTTATGTATATTTTTCGTCATCATAAAAGTTTCATACTGGATAGAAATTGTGAGAATACAAGCAATATGGTAAGGCCTTTGTGTTCTTCGTTCCACTGACTCAAAGAAAATCAAACACTAGGTCAATGCAGATGACAAAAATTTATTGTCATCCTGGCACTACTGATTGATGAGGGCCACATAACATTCTTGCAACTGAACTGTTATACCTATCTATCCATTCAGCCAGAAAGTTACAGAGGTTCTGAGCTTGAAAATTGTAAATACCTGTGCTGTTTTACAACTCCTTTTTTAATCAGTCAGGGTTTAGGGATATGGGATTGGTTTATATCAT